AAGAATCGAAAAAAAGATAATCGAGTCCAAACCAACCAAAAAACAAAACCCAACATTTTCTCATACATCCAACTTTTATACCGTTTTTGAAAAAAAAGTGGTATACTTGAATCCGAAAGAAATGTTGAAATTGTTGCACCAACACAGAATTTAGAGGAAGATGATGACAGTGATTTTGGAGAAAACGATTCTGTGTACAACACTGATAGTGATAGTGATAGTGATGATAAAGAAAAAGATGTTGTTGATGTTGAAGTTGTAAAAGAAACACAAAAACAAAATACTGATTCTGATAATAAGTCGTATTTTGATATAACAAATTTTGATAGAATAAAAAGTTTATTTGATTGTTTTTCTAAAAACCTGGCTAGTGGCTATATAAATAAAAAAGTATCTGGTACTGTTTGCATTGATGAACAATTAGTCAACTATTTCGGTCATTGTAGATTTAGGCAGTATCTTCCTTCCAAACCAGGCAAATATGGGTTAAAATTGTGGCTCATGGTAGACAACTATACTGGGATGGTAATAAACGCAAAACCATTTTTAGGAAAATACGGTGGAAATGAAGAAAAAGAAATAGAAAAAATTGTTGAAGCTTTGATTTTCCCGTTTTATGGAATTAATATGACTCTTTATATGGACAATTTATTTACAACTGTTGATATTGCTCTTGAATTAAAAAAACGAGATATAGATGTTGTGGGAACTTGTAGAAAAGAACGAATATTCGTCCCAAAAATATTCAAAGAAAAACAATGTCACAAAAGTTTTTTGGCTTTAAATTTAGTCAAAATTTGCAAACCGGTAATAAGAAATACTCCATTTGAAATTGTCATATTGAATTATTATGATAAACCAAATAAAGCTGTTACATTTTTGTCGACCAAAAAACAACTTATCATTTTTAATAAAAGAAGTGGTTCATTTGAAATTCAAATAAGTTATAACAAAAACATGGGAGGAGTTGATTCGGTTGACAAAATGGTAAAACAGTATTCTTGTAAAAGAGGTACGAGAAGGTGGCCTTTGGCAATGTTTTTTAACATTGTGGATATATGCGCTTTAAATGCATATTGTTTAACAAACAAAACGATCAAAAGAGAAAAATTCTTGATTGATTTGAGTATAAAGTTGTGTCAGCCACACGTCAAAACAAGAGCTAAAAGTACCAAAAGAATCGAACAATCTGTCATACTTAGTCACATTTTCAGTGAAAATGAAATTATTAATTTTGATGTTGATAAAACAATGAGTATAGTTAAAGCGCCCGTACTTTTATGTCAAACTCCGTCATTAGTGAACACTAAGTTGGAACTTATACCAATTGAGCAACGAACAAAAGTTGAAGCAATAAGAAAAAGGTCACTATGTACAAAACTTGAAAAATTGGGAACATGTAAACTTTGTAGTGGCCAATGTAAATCGAGAATTAAAAGTGGTTGCTATTTTTGCTGTCAACCGGTGTGTCCTTTACATTCCGTTTTTGTTTGTATCGATTGTGCAAATAAAATGGTCATAAATCAAAAATAGTTCATTATCTACAATTATGAGTTTTAGGGGTTAATTTTATATTGATAATTAAAAATTAAAAATAAATTACCAAAAAACAAATATTGAAAATAAGTGAGATTTAAATTACACAAACACCATCGTAAGGTTAAACAAATTGACCAATTCGATTTTTTACGCTCAGACATTGTGTATAACAACAAAAATAATGCCGTTGTTGTAAAAAATGGTTGGGCAAATCTTTTTTGTGTAAAATGATACATACAACACGAGAATTTGACAATAATAAACTTCTGTTTCATCAAATAAAAATAAAAAACAAATCATAATTAAAAAGAACACCACGATTGGCAGATTCATCGAAATGCGGTTTAGCAGTCGAGTAAAAACCGTTCACAAGAAATTGTCTTAACTTTGTGGGTGTCTGTTTGCTCTCCGAAAGAGCGTCTTAAAATGTTGAAAGGTACTCACGTTTAAAAGCGAAATTTTTCAAAAATGATCCAAAAAACTCAGTTTGTTTACAGTATTTTTCCGTTATTTTTGGTAAATAACAATATTAATATCACCATTTATTGACAAACAGAGAAAAATAAAATGATTGGCTAAATGACTTTAACTTCATTTATTTATATGGTTGTGTTATTGGAAAATAGTTTAAATAATAGTAATATTTATTATACATCCCAAAAATGCTTTTTTTCAAAGGAAAATATATAAATAAGGTTTCCAGACTGATTTTAATCTATTTTAAATTATTATGTTATTAAACATCATTTACTTAATGGATATACGTGTGCTATTGTAAAATATTCATCAAAAAAATGATTATTAATATATTTTACCAACAAATTAAATAAAAACTCATATTTATTTAATCTAAAAAAATAATAATCATTTCTTCATGAAATTATTTAAACCCACTGATAATCATCAAAATCAAAATGTCCAAACTTGACAGTTATCACATCATGATAACTTCAAAATACTTTGCAACTATCAAAGACTTCATCAATATTGAGTTTGTATGTAAGAAGTTTAATGGTAATATTAGAAGTTTCACTTCAACCCAATTCCATTAACCAAATTAACAATTAAATACTTTCCCAACATCGAGACACTTCACATATGGAAGAAATACAGTGAAAATTTTGGAAATGGATTTGTTGTCAGTGTGAAGAACGGTAATCATGAATATTATGAAGACGTAAACAAAAGAAAAAGTGTTATGGGAAAGAAAGCGTTTTACGAAATTATAGTGTGGTTTGATGTTGATTATGAAACTGTTGACAGAAACAGTAGTCGAAACATCAAATTTAAAAATGTGATTTATACTATTAACGATAGTATGAAATATGGTAATATAATACCACAATGCATTGGATCGTTACAAAAAAGTTTTTACAGTGGATGTGTAAATCTTAGAAGCATGATTTTACCACCAATTATAAAATCGATTAGTGCTTATTGTTTTAGTGGGTGTTGTAATTTGAGCAGTGTGACAATACCAACAAGTGTAACAACAATTGGTAATCATTGTTTTTCCAATTGTAATAATTTAAAAAATATTGATATTCCATTTGGTGTCACATCAATTGGGGATTGTTGTTTAGATTGCTGTCGCAGTCTGAGTTATGTTGATATACCACCAAGTGTCACATATATTGGGGATAATTGTTTCAGAGAATGTATAAGTCTAAGTAATGTGATTATACCATCAACTATTATTTCATTTGGTGATGGTTGTTTTAAATGTTGCAGTAGTTTAAATAGTATATTAATACCATCAAGTATAAAATCTATTGTTAAATATTGTTTTGATAAATGTAGCAGTCTGAGTAATATTGATATACCATTGGGTGTCACATCAATTGGGAATTGTTGTTTCGACGGTTGTTGCAGTCTTATAAATACGACAATACCATCAAGTGTGATAAAACTTGGCGATGGTTGTTTTAAATACTGTAGCAGTCTTAGCAGTGTAACAATACCATCAAGTATTAAATCTATTGGGGGTGATTGTTTCAATGGTTGTAGCAGTCTGAGTAATGTAGATATACCATCAAGTGTCATAACAATTGGGGATAATTGTTTTTATAAATGAATAAATCTTAGCAATGTGACAATACCATCAAGTGTGATAAAACTTGGTTTTTGTTGTTTTGTCGAATGTAATAGTTTGAGCAGTGTAACAATACCATCAAGTATCACATCAATTGGCGATGGTTGTTTTCCACTACACACTCTTATTATTCAACAAAAATAACCAAAAAATCGACAACTTTATTTTTGGTTACTTAAAAATAACATTTTCATATTCTATTTATATTTATTATTGTAAACACATTTATGAACTATATCAGGGTCGCCGTTTTGATACTTTTTGGCGCGTTTAGGTTTGGATTAATTGGCAATTTAATAATTTCTGTGGATTAAAATATTAAATAATACATAATAATAAAATTGCCTATTAAATCAGTTTTGATTGAGAAAAAAATAAAATTACACATTTTTGGGATTTATTTATAAACTTTTCCCAAAAACCATTTTATAAAAAATATATAAAGTTCCCATTATTACAATTTGAAAAATAAAAACACAATTAAAGAAAAATTACCTTTTCATAATAAACACGCACAATCAAACATTTATTTCAAAAAATAAAATAAATGGGAATATTTAAAAATAAACGGCGAAACGATAAAAATGGTAAACAAAAAACAACAACTTTTCATAATCAATTCAGCTAATTTATCAAATTGGGGCGTAAGTGTTGTATTTGCTATGATCATCATTGCCCTCAATATATCATCTGACAGTTGGCTTCTGAAATTGGTTTTTATTAAAAAAAGTGCGGAAAATCCTTGTTCACATGAATATGAAGTCATAAACAATGACAAAGATCTTGCTGCTAACATGGAGAGTCTTGGATAATTAACAATAAATGTTTGTTTGATGTATTCATCGTTGAATATTTCATTCATTGACATTCTAATGGTGTAATAACAATCGGGATGTGTCATTGGATTATAAATATGTTGTTTTAATCGTTCGGTAGAACTAATTTATTCATTTTCAACTGGTTGCTTTTCCACAACACGTTCGGTTTGCGGTCTGACAACGTTCTTTTTAATAAACATTTTATCACAAAAAAAGTTCAACTTCGTTTTTTATTTAGTAATTGTGTTCGTTGACAAAAAGTTGAGTAATGCACGTCATATTAAGGAAGTCGTCCATGAACGAAAGTTGATCTATTTCTATAAACCTTGAAGCCAACTGTTCTTTCATAGTTATAATAACTGCAAGATGTATAGTAATAGTAACTTCTATTTTGTTTTTTGTAACAAATGCGTTTGCAGTTGGAAGTAACGAATCT